GGTTCTATACCTTTTGCTGTTTTTTAGACAGTTATGTGTGCGTTTGAATTGTAGTACTTTTAGTCCATAACAAAGTCTGCTGCTGCATACTGAAAATGCAGGTCCACGTTTGCAGGTCTGTTCAGTGATAGGTTGAAGTTTGCAGGCCAGATCAGTGATAAGTCCACATTTGCACTGTTTTTTTAATGGAGAAGTTTCCGCTGTCCGGTCCTCGTTTGCCTGTCTCTTTGATGGTTAAACACATAGGTCCACGTCTGGAGGTCTTTTCAAAAGATTTACTCAGACTTTCACTTTGAAGTTATATACATTTGGTTTGAAGGAACAGGATTTATTTTTTTGTATATATATATTTCTACATTATGGCTCATTTGCTCGCTGCCATCTTTATATTTCTTAAATTAAAGCATGTAAAATAAAGTCTAAATTTATTTTCTATGAATTTAAAAACTTAGTGTTTTGTTAGACGTTATTTCCTGTGCCAAACAAAAAACAGCTTTGTGATCACTTGAAATTGACTGCCTTAAGATGCCGACACACTTGGAACCACATGTATTCTTAAAGTGATACTGTTTGCTCAAGACGGATTGTAATGGTGCTTTATAGTGAAAAAGTTCGAGTGTTCACGTGTTTTAACAGTTACAAAATGCTCCGCTACCTCATAAGATTGATGTGAGTGACAATACGGGCATTGTGCTTTGCTTCGTGTAGAAGTGTATGTTACATTTATCTGTATGACAAACGTGTAAGGAAGTGACTGATGAGGAAGTTCATTGCTAGAACGTTTGCCAATACATGTACCATCCATCTTGGCCTTTTTTGCATGTCACTTCGATTTGCCACATGATGAGACCATTTTCATGAATAATTCAGATAAAGTGAGGATTTTGAAAGTTCACGTTTTCTAAAGAATTGTTGAATCAAAGTAGATGTTCCATTTTACAACCGCAACGCATGTCTTTGAGAGTTGCATGCCAGCTGATGCACTGCCAAATTGATGGTTAAGCATTTTATTTCCGTATTCCTGAAATAAATAGTTTCAAGATTGTACACAGAGTTGCCGTTTTTCTGTTTCTTTGCGTCAGTATTCAGGTCGGTTACATGTTTAAAGTTGTTTTATAGTATGCATTCAAGAGATTTGTTTGGATTTTAGGATTTGTACAAACTTTGTTTAGTATGGGCAAAAAGGAGCGACATCAATACATTAATCCTGCACATTGTATACGGTATATAAAACATGAAAGGGCTGCGTAGCCTGATCAGATGATGATAAATGTTAATAAGAATCAGTCCTCAGGACATTTCTTTGCTAAGCTTTTGTTAATACATGGTGTATTATATGCTAAACAAAGCATCCATTGATAGTGTACTATCACGAGGTATATTTTACAGTGTGTAGGTACATTATAATTTTTCATTCTAGTTTTAGGTTGAATCTGGCAACAAACCATATCATATGCCAAACAAGAGTCCCGTTATACCGTGAAGCCGGAAAAAACATCGGTCTACCGTTGTAGGATACAGTTTCAGTAACTGCGTTTTATTAACTCACGCATCACGCTTATTTACAACTTTGGGTTGGCTACCGACAGTCAGGACACGGAGCTGACACCTTTATTCCTTATTAATTTTCTTCCATCTTGGAGAACAAATAATCAGGATAGAATTTGCGTGGGGCGATACACTGAAAGATTTCATGAAGAGCACATGAATTTCATTTCTAATAGGATTGAAAGAGTCAAATTTGAAGGATTGAAAGAGTCATGATAATTGAAAACTTTGGAGGGCCGGGTAGAAAAAACAATTTAAAAAAAAAACTCAGAGGAGAAACATACCATGGAAATTACCCCGGTAACACGAACTTACAAGGAATAAACGCTCAGCTGGACAGGCGGAACGGGTGTGGCCAGTTTTATTGCTTTGAACAGTCATCATCAGACTGCAATTTTATTATTATAATTGTTCCATACAAAACGGGATATAATGCAATATTGAAACTAGACGAATGTTAATTGTGTTTGTTTACAAACACAGCTGTTTCGGCGGTTTTTTTTCCAAACTAGTTCATGACTGACTAATATTGATTAGAGCATGGAGGTAGGAAGATGAGAACATAGTTTGGTGGTACTATGTGACGTGTCTCTTGTTTGTTTCATTTCGTGAAAATTAATGTTAGATAATAGATGGCCAGGTCCACTTTTGCAGGTGTAATTTAATGAAAAAAAACACACAGGTCCACGTTTGCAGGTCTCTTTAACAGACAAATACACGGGTCCACGTTTGCAGGTCTCTATAATGAACAAACACACAGGTCCTCGTTTGCAGGTATTTAATGAATATGTATTCCGATGTCCACAGTTATTAGGTTAAAAATCGGATCTTAAAGCGAAAGTATTTTCTAGATTTTTTTTCAATAATTTGAAATGTTGACTCATTTGCTCTCTTTCATTTGAGGAAAAACTTGATACTTCTTAAAACAGGCAGAAATTAACGAGTCCACACTTGTATGGTTAAATGGGCAAGTCCACGATTGCAGGCCTATACAAGTATGGGTGTGTGCGTCTGAGCGTGCCAAGCAGTTCAGTGGTGATTTTTATGCAGATGGAAATGTTCTTTTCTGCAAGTTTTGTGAGCATATGTAGACTTCAAGTGAGTTGACACTGTGAAAGATCATCTTGAGAGCAAGAAACATGTAAAAAACAAATCTGCCAAGATCGATGCCGCCAAGGTCAAGTCAGATGGTGATGGGCAGCCTCCAGCTAAACGACAGGTGACCCTGTTTTCGGCCTTCCAATCTAAGAATCTGCGTGAGGAATTTATTCTTGACTTTGTGAGAATGTGTACCGTGGCAGATATTCCTCTAGAGAAGGCAGAAAAAATGCGTCCGTTTATGAGGAAACATTGCAAACAAGGTGGAACACTGCCACAAGCAGTAACATTACGAAGTCTCTATGTGCCTCATCAGTTTGAAGTCCATTTTTCAGCACTGAAACAAGCACTTCATGGTCAAAAAGTCTCCCTAATCACTGATGAAACGACTGATGTGCGAGACCACAGCATCTTGAATGTTGTTGCTGGTGTCCATGGGAAGTATTTCCTCATTGATGTTTGTACCATGGAATCCTGCAATCATTCTACACTCAGCTCATCTGTCATCAAAGCTGTAACCAGTGTGGGCATTGAGTTCAATGATGTCATTGCAGTTGTCACTGATTCTGCAGCTTACTGCAAGAAGGCAGTTTGAGAAGTTTTGCAGCCAATTTTCCCTAACAGTTGCCATGTCCGCTGTCTTGCCCATATCATCAATCTGTCAGCTGAGGTGTTTCAGCTTTGGCCAGAGTTTGACAGAGTGGCAACTCTTGTCAAAATGATGAAATCTGTCTTCTTTAAGAAACCAGCACGCAAGACACGTTACTTGCAGTTCTTGGGTGACTACCTCCCAAAAGATCAAGTGAAACTCCCTCCAGTACCAGTTTCAACTCGTTGGAACTCTTGGTTTAAAGCTATCATTTACCATGCCAGCCACATCCATGTCTACGATGGCTTCTTCAAAAAGGAGGAGAGTAAGGGCCTTGCT